CAAAATTTATATGTGATATCTGGGACCCTGGATTGAGGGGGTGAGACTGAAAAGATGCATTCATTTTATTTTTATGGACTTAGGGTGGTGTACATATTTGAAAACACGAAAATGCGAACATCCTTTTCCAGTGTTTTTTATTTTTGTGTAATTTTTTGTGCGTCTGTGTACCCACTTTAATATGCATAAGTAAATATGCTTATCACACATACATACATTTGTATGTAACTACAATGATTTTATCGCGCAAAAACAGCGCACACCTGCACAGCTTCAGTTCATCATCATCCTTTGCATATTAAATTGTTGCTCAAATTTACTTACCGTATGCTAATTTTTTCGTTGACATCTTCATTGTTACATATTCTTCGTGCACGGCGAGCTTACGAATTCGCATGTAGTTTTTGACTTTTTTCACATTACCGCACCCAATTAGATTCATATGCGTGCGTGGGTGTGCATGTGTGTTTAAATTGTTTATGTAAATTTTTATGCTAAACACGTTTTAATAATTTATAATTCCTTATCATTTTGTGTCATTTACGTTTTTATCTCCATTTGCGACGTCCTGCCAACAAAAACATAAAACAACAACAACAACAACAACTATCGCTATATACAGTTGACTGTAAGTTGGTGACACCCTGTCGCAACTCTTCGTACGCCAACTATTCGCAAATGCCCTGCCTCTGTTCATTCTTGTACGTGCGTATGCTCATTCGCTGTGGTGACTTTTCCTGGCTGTGTGCCGCATGGTGCTCGGTAACTTGCGGCCAAGGCTTGCAAATGCGTGGCGTTGAATGCAAATCATCCACCGGCAGTGCCGCCCACTTGGGAGACCCGCATCCGTGCAGCCATACGCGACGGGCAACTCTTATGATGGCGGTGGTACAGTTATACTCGGCAGCAGCGGGCCACTCGCAGCGGTGAGTACTTAGCTAGGAGAATTGAATTAAAAAAAAAAAAATAGAAAAAATTATACAGTAAGTTTATTTAAAAATAATAAGTACTAAAAAATTAAAAATTAAAAATTTGCATACATTTAACTTACCTACATTTAGTCTGCGCCATACCTTACCTTCCCTTCTCTAGCAGTTCGATGATGGTGATCTCGACGTGGAGGAGGATGAGGACAATGATGATTCTGCGGATGTTGACGATGTCGACGACGAAGGCGTTGACGAAGCTGGCGATGCCGGCAATGATAATGCCGGTTTAGTGTTATACATACAACGATGATTCCGCACCGCAGTACGCACATCGCTCGATCAGTCATTTGCATCATGATGAGCTGCAACAGCCGCGTGCCGAACGCCTTACTAGCGGTGGTGTTGGATATGGTTATCGCAGTAAATCGGATCCAGAAGCGCAGGTGCCTGCTGGCGTTCCAAGGTGAGTGAAAGGCAGTTAATAGAAAATGGTTAACATTTATTTGGATTTAAAAGAGCCAAGAAAACGCGGGGACAGTAGAGGTTTTTGCTCACCCTTGCGCCTTAAAAACGATCTCGTGTCTCCAATTAGTTCGCAGACCAGTTTGTTAAAGAGGATTAGGTTAGGTTAGGTTAGTTGGTAGCCCCGTGTAACCAAAGCTCACTTAGACAATTTGAGATTGTCCTTTGTTGTCAATTCTGAACGGCACTGTATACTTTATCGATAAAACGCCCCGAGCTCATTATGTATTTACGAATTCGGCTAATCTCAATGCTCCAGGGCTCCTCGGGGCTATTTATTTAAGATGTGAGAGTCCAAGTTATTCAATCTTAGCCACGCAAAAGCTGAGCACCTAAGAAGTTAGTGTTGAGGCGATTCCACGTCGTCATCTTCCAGGCATCTGCGACATACGGGGTCCGGTAGTATGTTCAGCCTTACTGCGTGAATACCGATTGGACAGTGGCCCGTTAAAACTCCCACCAGAAATGAGAGCAGTGGCTTTGTGAGTGTGAGGAGTGCCCTCGACCGCCCTCGGTCCACCCTCGGCCAGAATGACCTTGTGATCGCGAATTCGGTATTTTTCGTCCAGCGCTTGCTGAGTTGAAATAAGGCCCATCTATCCAAGAGTGTACCACAAGCGGTCAATGGCACCCCCAGTCGCCACTTATCCGGCGATAGTGTTTCAAGTGTCGCTGTGACCCGGAACCCAATAAGCCTAATACAGAAGTATTCCAACGCCACCGAAAGAGAGAGCAGACGTTCCTTAACCAAGTTATAGCGAACTTCCAACGAACCCAACACCATGATTGCCGCTTGGCTATCAGAATATACGCCCACTTCCCTGACTGTTATAGCACTCCACTCCCGCCTGGAAGACACTGCGGCAGCCTGTACTTAGTGCTGATGGTCAGCTCTTGACAGAAGACCCCAACACCATCCCTGCCATCCAGATTCGATCCATCCGTGAAGAAGTTCACGGTCAATCCATCGGTTTCCCTGAGTCTAATAGCCGTTCGCGCCGCGACAATTCTGCCT